AAGAACATAACGAAAATAATTTTTTAGAAAATGAAAAATGTAAAAAATAGAAAGAGTGATTAACTTTATCTTAAATTCTAGTTCCTTCATAAGAATAATATGTACCGCAGAAAGCCGACAGTAAACTCGATTTTCTTAAAGTTGACAATTGCAAGATAATCGTAAGAAACTATTGCTACTACTACATTGAATTCTATATACATGAGCCCGTCTATGAAATAGCCACAAGTAAAGCTACACTATCACCGTTTAGGTGGCAACTTAATACTGCTAGATCACTTGATTCTAGGCTGAGGAATTCGGCCGATTGATCAGTTTTCATTCCTTCCCACCCAATTTTCTGTTTGTTTTATTTCCTAATTGCTAATATTTTCAATCACTAATTTACTATTTGTCAATACGGTTACAGGTAACCAATCAAAACTATGAAACTGTAAACTAGAAAGACACCTCTTTTCTCTGCGCAGCTCGAGTAGACATCGAACCATCTCCTAATTGTACATCAATCAGTCCTCAACCGTCTCGAGTTTCACGTACTCTGTCTAATAAAAGTTCTAACAGTTTTTATATTGTCTCGTTCATATACAAATGAATTTCCTTTAAATAATACAGATTGGTATGAGTGGAACTGTATTTTTACGCGGGTAAGATTCAGATGGAGGGATAGAATCCCTTCCCGTTCACGCTTTTACTTTATAGTTGCGAATATAACATTTTTTTTATGAAAAGTAAAACAGTTCTTTATAAGCCATTTTTCCCATTTAAAATTAAATTGGTTTTATGAGAGTATATGATCGTTTGAGGATTATGAAGTACACAGTATTGCTGTGCTTATAACTGTCTCACGAAAGCACTCCTATATATATGTATATAAAATTCAATATAGTGATAATGAAAGTTTTTCGCAATTATCTTGGAAACTAAAATAGACTAAAAAAACTGAAATATCCGTTTCTGCAACATTTATTAATTTTATAAAAATCAGTTTCACTATCAGCTTTCTACAGTATTTCACTTAACTTTTGTATAGAATAATTCTCTTTCCTATTGTACCACAATTTTTAAAACACCCTGTACATAAAAATTTACAGTCATATATGAATTTTGTACTATCACATATAATATCCCAGTAAAATTTTTTGCAAATTTATTTATTGTACATTCTATAAAATTGTTCTCCACAAGGATGCAATAAATATTGATCCATGCAAGACTTTTGAAATGGGAACCCATTTGGTTCGGAAAATTATATATTCTACGTGTATTTTTGACTAACTATCTTGCAGTTTTGTGAAAATTCGTTGTACGTGATACACGAGTTTTCAGACACCGTGTGCTGATCAGAATTTATCGATCAGAAGAAATACATACTATGCAACATGTTGAATATGAAGAAATTTAAGCAAGGAGAAAATAAAAACAGAGAGAAAGTGGTAAAAATATTCATATAACGTTATATTTTCGGTGTAAATCAAGTGTATATGTATAAACTCGTGGTAAAACTACGTATATCTCGTAGCTTTAATGTACCGGTGGAAGCAATCCTCTTTAAAAGCAATTATACAATTTCAAACTGAATAATGAAAACTAGAGAACTGTAACTCTCGAAAATATGTTCTATGAATTCATCGTATGAAACTGTTCGTACATGAATTAGTGTTCCTTTTGTTTGCCACGAAAGAGGACTTGTTTTCGATCGGTCTGTGCATGTAACCGGACTAATTGTTTAAATGTTAATTGTTAAATGTTAGGATAGAAAAATCTAAAAACATGCCACACCGACGAATATTTTACATAGGAGACATATGGTGCATAAACGCTTACATTAGACTTGCGTTTTTTTTCGTTGAAAAAATATATCAATTGTTATGTACTTATTTATGCGATATATATATGTTCTGAATAATTCGTTCACCTACATTATTATACACGTGGATACATGTCATTTGACATACCACGTACTAAGATATTCAAGTTGACTTGAAAAACTTAATGTTATTTAGTTATTTACACATATCGTTATCAGATTTGTCTCGTGTCCAACGTTGATTGTTCTATTAAAATCTTATGACATTATACGAACAATGTGAGTTTAATGTCCAACAAATCTATTTTACATACGTATGAGAATTGATTGATTACAGTGTTCTGTTTTAGTAATCTGTTCTTCTGAATATCTTATTTTATTATTCATAAAATAAAGTAAATTTTAAACATACTGTACAATTTATAATATTAAACAACATTGAACGTTATATTATCCGTACAATAATAAATAAGTCAAGATTCTTGCAATTAATTAACTTTTATTGGTATACTGTAAAAGTACAGGCATTTTTAATGACTTTCTGAGAATGATATACGTAAAAACTATTTTAATTCGTTCGTTTATCCAAGTAGTACGAAAATACATTTACATTGTTTACTATACTAAATTTCTTATACATTTAATGTAATAATAACAAATCTGCAAGTTTTGCATGTTAAGTAATCCTTCAAATACTCATCAGTACTGAAAGAAGAATGAATTGTTGGGTTTGAACTAGAGATCCCTATTTCACGTGTACATAAATAAGCGTGTACCTACACGTGTAATAGACAAATGCGGATCTTAATCAGTGAAATTTTTAATTCACGAATACCCGTGTGATTGCTACATGTGCTCACGTGTACTTAAATACACGTGTATAGGTATTGGGCAGTGGAACGTGAAATTTTGAGTTTTGTCTCAACAATTGTAAGAAACAAGGAAATCTCATCCAAAATATCCACAGAGATATATAATACATTTGTAAACATGTACACGTGTACCATGAACACTTTAATACAGGGTCCGCGAAGAATGTGTATACGTGCAATAAGAACACGAATCCCCAATTTCTTAATAAATGTTTCACATGCCACGTTTTCACGTGTATTTTAGTTCACGTCCAAAATCGGAACCTCTAGTTTGAATGTTTTAAACAATGCAGTCACTGCCGCCATTTATTCGCAACGAAATTTACTTGCTTTAGATATTTTTAAGGTGCCGCGAAAAAGAAATTGTATGTCTAGAACCTTATGTCAAAAATAATTAATCTTGTGTTGACAGTAACTTCAAATTTTTAAAACGCACAGAAGTATTTGATTATTGTAATCATCGTTTGAAACGCAGCGTTCACAATTATCTAAGTCACATGAAAGCCTAAACATTGATATTATTATCATTGTAATTAGTTATTGTATCATACTTAAAAGTATGTAACTATTTTATAAATAAATAGATAATCAATGTTCATTACTTTGTATTATTTCCTTAATTCCTCATCTGTAAATAAGGAAGCACACAGGATAGTTCAAGTAAAGGGAAATACATAAAAATTTCCTTTGCTTTTAATAACACAAGAAGGTGTTATTAAACACTAGAACTACCGCACCCGTCTAAATGACGGATTTCAATTTTCTTATTTCGTGACTATTGATATCTTAAAAGTGTTAAATATACAAAATGATTTAAAAAAATAGATGGATCCACTAAAGTATTATAATATTGTAATTTCTGTGAAAAACAAAACATATTTTCAAATTTCAGGATGTTGAGAATGTTTTGAGGCCAGACCGAACTATACCAAACAAATAAAAATCATGAAAATTTTTAAATGAACTCATGCGTCGTATGAACCGGCTGAAACAGCGTACAAGTTCGCATAAAGAAATTATTTATGTGCGATGACAACGTTTTTTAGATGTAGCGTAAAAACGCAAAAGCAAAACTCGGAAAGCTGATTTATGATAGGGTTCCTTCAGGGATCTGAGTCATGGTATTATCATAGTGTACTCCGCAGTAAGAAAAAGACTCAAGAAATACTATAAAAAAATATTTCTTCATTTGTTAGATATTATTTGTTTGAATGCATTTATATTATATAAAAAAAATAATTTTTTGTTGGAATTTATTGAGGACAGTATTGCGTCGTATCCAATCCAACGAGAAAAATCGACACAAATTCGGCCATCTAGGTCTAATATGCCCCAATTAGTCGAGAGTCATGTTCCAGAGCATATACCCGGAACTGCAAAAACAAACAACCCTACGCGAAGATGTTCACACTGTTATAAACGTAAGATCAGGAAGGAATCGCGTTACCGATGTTCCATTTGCAAAATCACATTGTGTATAGTACCCTGTTTTGCTGAATACCACTCCACAGTAGGAAATTAAATTCTTACCTATATAAGTATTTAATTTTTCTTGCGTTTATCATTTAATATGTATATAATATATGTTTATGTTAACCAAGTGAATAAATAATAGTAATAAAATTGGCAATTTTATAAATTAAACCTATCTTTTTGATCCAATATTTTAACAGCGAAACTTACTCTGTGATTGACGAGTATACTCGTCATGACACAAAATCCTGCAACTTCTCCATGACAAGTATACTCGTAAAACACAGTTAACTATGAAAAAATCGAAAAAAATGTATCGTCACAATTTTTATAAGCGTTACATATTAAACGCTCAGTGGTTCTAGCGTTAAGGAATAATCTGAATGGTTTCAATGAAATAATTTATAATAAAAAATTTGTTTAATACAGAACCAAATTTTTCTTAAACGAAATTATGCCTTGGTTATTTCTTATGTCATTAAAGAGAGAGAAAAAATTTACAGACTTTTATAGTTAGAATATCCTATATGCTGTAATCTAATAAATGTTCCCATCATCCTATCTTATTATATACTTATCTGTATCTATCAATACAAAACATTTTTCAAACAGAAACTAAACTGATACAATTTGTGATTAAAAATGTAATCTTCAAATATAAATAGTTTCTATTTTCTTGTTTTTATACACGTACTAGTCAATTTTTTAGTGTGTTTAACAATACTATACAAATGCCATGTGTATTGGAAGTACATTTTACAAAACTTTCGCTGTAATTACCAAATCTTTTATTTTAAAATGCATAGTACTGATAAAAACACATTATTCAATTTTATGAACAATTTTATTCTATATTAATACATTTACTATAGTTCCAACGTAGTAACTAATGGTACACAGTTTTTTTCCAAGTAAAAAGATTACAGTATGCTTAATAATTAAGTAAATATTTTTATAAAAATGTGAAGTAATCTACACACTTATATAGAAATTGTTAAGATTCCTGCTTCAACTTCTCCATTAATTGCTGACCAACAAAATCCCAATATCGCCTTCTTATCGTATCGTACTTTTCAGATAAATCTTTACACAGCTGAAGTAATTGCATAAATATTAATATATAATTATATTATGAATCAAAACACGAACATATAAGAAGATAAAATAAGAAAGTACCTTAAGAGCATTATTTATATGAAATAATGATTCTTCAGATTCTTCTGATATAGATCTTTCTTGACAAATGTCTATAATGCAGGCCAGTAAGTGATTAGTGCGACACCCATCCGCATATAGTTCTTCACACTTTCGTCTTACTTTTTCATTATAACCCAAACCACTGCTATCTTTCATTAAAATACTAGAAAGCACGTAATCCATGTATTAATCATATTAAATAACGAATTAATTTTAAGTAAATAAGGCAATAAATAATGATTGTTAACAATACCCTCTAAGATAATTCCAAGCACTTTCATTTCCTTTTACTAACTGTATCTTATCCAAGGCATAATCAATTTCTCTATCAACTATACTCTGTTCAAATTTTGTTGTATTCTTTATTACAAAATAACGTTGATTCCAAGCAGAATTATTACGAATATCCTCATCCAATAATCGTTCTACATACTCCAACTCATTATCAAATAAACTGTATAGTATACAAATAGAAATTTATTATGTTATGGTTAGTTAAACTAAGTATAACAATTATATTTATTCAAATATTTTAATAAAAATTTTATGTAGAAAGAGAAAAGAAATAAAATATACTAACTTAAATGTCTTTATACACCATTGACGATACTGCCAAGCATGATAATTCTTTGCATCTTTCTTTAAAATGCTTTCTATAAATGCTAGTTCACCACTGACATCTTGAAACCATTCAACAATAATTTTTCTGTGATGCCAGATTTGATAAATTTTAGAATAATACCTTGTCAATCCATTAATATACTTTAATTCATATTTTAATTCTTCTCCAAGATTAAGAGCCTTAAGTATCTCTCTTCTATATTGCCACACTGTATAATTTGCTGGGTTAAGCCAAACACAGTCTGCTGTTAATGCCAATGCACGTTCTGACTTTTCTCCAGACTTTAGAACAGCTCGAAAATAGTCATAGGCATCCCTAACTTAAAATATAAACAAATATAGTAATATTTAAATAAACATAATAGTATAATACAGAAAGTATTTATTTGATTATTATATAAGTATAATATAATAAAAGTTCTAAATGAATAAATATGGGGTTTAGCAGACTCACTTTTGATCATATTAAGCTTGAAATATGTTATTACAAGTGTGATTTTGAGCAACTTCTTATATGTATTACCATCACTCTGCTTTAGTTTCTCAGATGTTCACAAAAAACATTTACAATTATTTAAAAATTTCAGCTCCTCACTGACTTCAATGACTTTAAAATATATTATCAGAGACTTCATTTTAAATAATTTCTCTTTATACACATAACAATCACTCAAACTTAGTTTCAAAGATATATACGAAAATATATTCAATATTACGTACCTTACTTTGTATATCACAAAAAACGCATAATATTAAATACATAATGTTACAAATATTTTGTCATATATCTTGCAACATATTTAACATATTTCGAGGTCAACATAATTGAAGTTGGATATATTAAATCCTATATTTATTCCATATTAGGTATACAAGAAAATTGATAGTATTAAAATTTTATTACTATATACAATGTAGTAATAAGATATTAAAAATTTATTACTATATATACAATAACTATGTATACTTTTGTGATATTCAAGATGAACATCTTACTTCTGTACAACTTACAGTAAAAAGGTTAATAATATACCCAATGCAAATACTATTACTTGTATCTTTAAACTTACTATTAAAAATATGTTAAATGTACAATTATTTGATCACAATATTGATATTACATAAGATATGTATTATTAAGTCAATTTTCCATTTTAATATGTCAAAGTATTACTGAATGAGTTATAATACACAAAAAATAATTCTAGGTTATGTTTTGACAACACTAAAAATCTAGAGTATAAACAAAAATTGGTAAATCTGTCGCAATTTAGGTAAAATAAAAATTCGTAATTAGAATAAAATACTTACATTTATCAGAATAAGCAATTGCAACGATAGGATGAGGACCATCATCCTGCGGTATTGGAGTCACATCTTTCCATTCTTCTCGATCTTTATATAACACCCAGTTTACATCGTCAGCTACATCACCGCAATTCCATTCTTCATCAGAAGTATCACCCATTTTCTCTGTTACAAATTAAGCTACTGGGACTTAAATATCACCTTTCTCTTATCTTCAAAACCTATTGAACCTACCAATTCGTTACACAAGGACAGATTAGTCTTATAGAAGGGAAACATGTGTTAGAATCTCTGATACTCGTGTCGCAAATGAGTGACTTAAAACACAACTATGAACCGATGTTGCTGTTCCTTTGCGCACAATATCTGCATCATTTTCTATGAAATACAATCAATAAAAGAGGAAGAACAAACTTTAAGCAAAGAATTAACAATGTTGAAAGCGTGGTAATATTTGAAATATAATATTATCACAGACAAGGTATAGTAATACCACAAACAAGATATAGGATAGACATAATATCCAATGTAAAATTTTGTCACGCGCTCTCGGGGGTCCCAAGACCCTTCACCATTTTTTTGTCACGCTCTGTCATATCGACTTACGCTGGTTTTGCATGGCAGCGCTATAAAGTAATAGGAATTAGAATCAAAAATATTGAAACACAGACTTAAAATATGTACAGACATTGCAGTTTATGGAGTATAAAGCACGTACATTTAGACGATGAAAGTAGTATTTACACAATAGAATTTTATGAAAATGCAGTTTTTATTAATTTATAAACATAAATATTTTTATAAACACATTTATTTTTTAAAGTACATATATAAAATTTATATAAGAAATTATTTTGACTAATTATACAGCTGTAGAAAATTCTTCGATAAATTATATATGTGAATAGTTTTAATTTTAATAATTGAAATTTTGACAAATAAAATTGAAGTTTAATATACATTTTTATTTAAACTATAATATTTCTAACAAAATTATTCCGCATTTAGGATTAAAATGTATAACACACTTTTAGGTACTATTTTGAACTTAGATGTAATGATTTTGCTTATGAATTGCCTAGAGACGAGAAAGCAGAGAGCTCCTTCGCAAACAGCGACTCACGGTGAACTAATAGTGAATTTTCAGAACCTTTATTTATATTTTATTTTGTTCGCAATAATCATTGAATTTTATATTCTATTACCATTTATTTAACTAAAACATGTAATGAAAGGTAAAAATATGCAAATCTGAAAAGTTTCGTATTGAATCCAGTAAAGAAAAGTACGTACATATTTCGCGGTAGTTTATTCATTCCACTTGTTCCACTTGTTCCACTTAACAGACGTGATTTGAACATGTACGTAGGATACATGTAATTGGCATTTAAGTATACGTGGCATGGAAATTTTTAATATACATATATACATCTTATTACGTTTAATACATTAATTATATGGCTTTAAAAGAATGTTCTTCGGACAAATGTAGTAGTTAGATAAAACGAACCAAACAAACGAAGATTGCTTCATATTTACTGATTTTTATTTCATTCATTGAATATTCATTTATATATTAATGTAAAATTAAGTAATGTTTATTTATAAACGAGTGAACAAGTATATGTATACATAATTATTTAATGGAATAATTAATGATTCAAATTTTGATATTGGTTACGATCTAGTATTTGAATTTCGATAACCTTAACCCTAGATAATTAAACATTCGTCTAAGTAGTCTACCAACTTCTGTCACTTTTGCGGATTCGAACACAGGAGCATATTTTTAACACCTAGCAAGACTACAAACATTAATTTTGTATGCTTTTCTATTTTCTATTAAAAACCTAATAATATATCTCTTAAGCTGTGCTACTTTGTTTGAAATAAATGGACGAAATATAAAAATATTCATGTCTCTAATTCAGAGTCGAATGTTTAGTTATATAGTAACACCAATTTAAGTTTAATTATCTAGGATTAAGAGACATGCTAAGCGAGGATACAAATCGCTTAACCGCTTTTGTTGAAAGCCTCCATGAATTTTCTACAAGCCTAACTCTCTAAACTCAACAACAACGTAATTTTTAGAATCGGCAACATTTAAAATTGACTTCCCAAGTACACTCTTTTCATGTTACCGTTTTATATACATAGTTTAATAGTTAATTAGTCATTTCAGAACAGTCAACAGAAAAATACATTATATGCACAATTTGTATGTACGTATTTTAAATCACTGTTCAATATTTTGGATTTTAATTCTCACTTATAGTGCTACCATGCAAAATCGGCTTTAGTCGATATGACAGGGCGTGACATGAAAATATTAAGGGGTCCTGGGACCTTCGAAAGCGTGTGACAAAATTTTACATTGCATGTATGTCTATCTTAGGTATCGTCCGTGGCACAATGTACTTGCTGAAATACTTAAATACTTGATGTTTTACAATTTGAATAAATACATGGACCACAACTACTGTATTTACACTATACATTAGAAGTTAATTTTCGTAGTATATCAGAATTTTCTAAAATTGCTACACATGCAAGTTCCAATATATTTATTTTAAAAACAGTACTTGGTTCAAATATATTATATTATATATATTTGATAATAAAAAAAACATACATAATAACAATATACAATTAAATTTGTAACATATAACGCTTTGAAATTCTCTTTTGAGTACTACTTATTTATTAGGATATTTGAGAGTTAACGATAGAATGCCAAAACGAATACGTTACTTTAAAATCAAAATAGGTTATTATATATTACGTACCATATATATATATATATACAAACTACATATTAAATTTTGCAATATATTAGAAATGTTTAAAATACGTGCTTAATGTCAAAACAAATGTATTTGGATACAAGTGAATATTAAACTCACAATACTATTTAGTAGTAGTAAGATCGGATTTTATAAATTACTCAATTGCAAATTTCATTGTTTTATAACTTTATTTATAGAAGTAACTAATACTGTTGCAAATATATCAATGTATACATAGCAATAACATTTTTCACTGCGCCTAAATAATATATTTTAAATATCTTTGTAGGGTACAAAATGATTGCAAAATTGTTTTATACTTTGGTAATTCAAATAAAAAATTTTAATAACATGGTTACATCATAATACAATACCTCTTTACATACTCTAAATATCGCTTACATCCTATAGAATAATTTGTTTTGCACTGAGCATACTTCACATTCTCTCCAACTTTTATCCGCTCACACTCATACTGAACGAATTGTCATAAAATTCTGTAATTATAAATTTTTGTAATTACGACATGTCGGACTACCAATTTCCCCACTTTTTATATTGAGGCCAAGCAAAACCGATACGGAAATACGTTATAACAAATGTTATAGTTATGTACAGAGTTTACAATTTAATCTCTTCTCAGAATATTGTAATTGATTATGTAATAAATATATGCTATGTGAAACACTTTATGAAGGTTCACTTCACTTCCATATTCATTATTTTCAAATACCTCAATGGTATGAATTAACACAAAATTATTTTAAAGCTTTTCACTTTGTTTTCCTTGGCATAGTTGAAAATGTTTATGCGATTATGAAGCCATACGCAGTATAACTACTCAATTGAAAGAAATTAATGTTTTACCCTTCAATGTTAAGTTAATATTTTCTATTCTTTATCACACATGCTCAAAAATACAAATACTAACAATACATTGTTCATTTTTATTGAAGTTTCTTTATCTGATAATGATAACGATGTTTCTTTTTGAGCATGTAAGATATTTATTTGTGTTCCTACATCTGTGCAATAAATTTGTTTTGCCTGAATGTATAATCTTAGACGTAATTAATTCTTTTCTTCTTTCTTTTCAGCCCCATCTTCTTGTTGACTTTGACTTTGACTTTGATTTTGACTTTCCCGTTCCGCAGCCATCTATAACCAAATTCAATAAATTCAATGTTTATCGAAGTTTCAAAAACTTTATTAAACAAATTGAAAATTAAATAATGTACCTTTTTATATGCCATTTCAAATAATTTAAGGCTTGCTTGTTGCAATTCATTCGTTTCCTTTTTAATTTCCTCCGGGTCTACATCATCTTTCTTACCTAATGTCTCTCGCATTTTAGCAATTAATTCTCTCAATTTGTCGCACTGCACATAACAATTGAAATTATAAATATAAAAAGCAATAAAAATTCATATATCTACATAAAAATATTATGCATTCTTACTTCTTCTTGAGGTACTTGTTGTTTATATTCTTCTAATTTAGTTTCTGTATCATGAATAATTCCTTCTGCTTGATTTACAGCCTCAACTCTTTCTTTCTTAATCTTATCTTGCTTAGCATACTGTTCAGCATTTTTAACCATGTTTTCAATTTCGTCTTTACTAAGACCACCACTTGACTGAATAACAACTGAAAATTTGTTAAATGAATCTTTTAACGAGAACTCTTTAATTAATGTTAAGGGGCTTTTCGTGTATTTAAATTGTACATACTTTGCTGTTCTTTTCCAGTGCCTTTATCTCTAGCAGACACGTGAACAATGCCATTGGCATCAATATCAAATGTAACTTCTATTTGTGGCACTCCTCTTGGTGCAGGTGGAATGCCAACAAGAGTAAATTGTCCCAAAAGTTTATTATCGTTAGCCATTTCTCGTTCACCCTGATGAACTTTAATTTCTACTTGAGTTTGCCCATCAGCTGCCGTAGAGAATACTTGACTCTTTTTTGTAGGAATAGTTGTATTTCGAGAAATCAACCTTGTGAATACTCCACCCAACGTTTCAATACCTATATGTGAAAACATCAATGTATAAAACTGCTGTAAAGATAGTTTCATCGTTAACGTTTTCTAACAATAAGTGTAACTCAGAATACCATATTCTTCATGATTGTCAGAGAGAAGATTAGATATGATAAGCATCACTGTACAACAGACAGTTTAAATTAATTATTAACAAAATAAGTAAGTACCCAGCGAGAGGGGTGTAACATCCAAAAGAAGAACATCAGTTACATCTCCGGCAAGTACTCCTCCTTGAACTGCAGCACCAACAGCTACAGCTTCATCAGGATTCACAGCTTTGGATGGTTGTCGACCAAAAATTTCTTGTACCGTTTGTTGAACTTTCGGTACTCTCGTCATACCACCAACTAACAATACTTCTCCAATGTCAGATTTTGACACTTCAGCATCAGAAAGAGCTTTCTGACATGGTTGAACAGTACGTTTAATTAAATCGCCAACTAGACTTTCAAATTTACTTCTAGAAAGCTTAAGATTCAAATGCTTTGGTCCACTAGAATCCATAGTCAGATACGGCAGATTTATATCTGTTTGAAGTGAACTAGACAATTCTATTTTTGCTTTTTCAGCTGCTTCTTTCAATCGTTGCATAGCCATAGCATCTTTAGCTACATCTAAACCTTGCTACAAAAATATCGAAATATTAATTATTGTTATCATATGTTAATGATAAAATTTATTTCATTCTAGAACACGTACATCTTTTTTAAATTCTGTTGCAAGGTAATTAACTAAAGCATTATCGAAGTCCTCTCCTCCCAAGAAAGTATCTCCATTTGTGGATTTTACTTCAAAAACTCCTTTCTGAATTTCCAAAATTGAAATATCAAATGTACCACCTCCTAAATCATATACTGCAATGCTTAAAAAAAAAGTATAATATTAATAATATTTTCTTTATTATACATTAAAATGAATTAAAGTCACTAAATTGGTCAGTGAATATCTTCAGCATGTTAAAAAAAACGAATGCTAAGAGACGAAAAATAACATCATCATTCCAAATTGTGTACATATTTTACATACTTTTAATAATCATTATAATTAAGATATTAATGCAGTGGTTCCTAATACGTGCGCCACAATACGTAAATGGGTGTGCTGTCAAAGAAATTTAAAAAGTATAAAAAATGCAAAGTCAAATTCGTAAGAAAGTATATACAGCCCATAACTGTTAAAATGACACACTAAAGTGAAAATCAAATAATTAATTCTTAATTGTAGATGTTCCACATCATTTTATAATATATTAATAGGTTTGCTATACATAAAATGGATCTCACATTTAAATTATTACAGAACCAAAACCTTTTTACTTTGTCTAAAGTGTACTGTGAGTTTCAGAACCACTGTACTAATGTAATTATAAAAATTTCAATTCTTACATTTTGTCTTCTGTTTTATCCATGCCATATGCAAGAGCAGCTGCTGTTGGTTCATTAATTACTCGAAGTACATTAAGACCAGCAATCTGTCCAGCATCTTTTGTTGCTTGTCTTTGTGAATCATTAAAATATGCAGGAACAGTGATTACAGCATTTTTCACTGAGGTATTTAAATATGCTTCAGCTGTTTCCTTCATTTTCATGAGTACAAATGCACCAATTTGACTAGGAGAGTACAGTTTACCATCTCCCCCTTGCACCCATGCATCTCCATTAGAAGCTCGAACAATTTTATAAGTTACAGTTTTCCTAGAATTGTAAACATTAATTACTACTACACAGTAAAAGAAATATTAATAATATTTATTTTATATATAGGACACATCACACTGAGTAATAAAACCTTAGATCGGAATATTAACTGTCTCTTTACTTTATTTCTATATATTATGTATTTTGAAACAGCATATACTTAATTCTTAAATATTCCTAAAAAGTAACTATTTTAAATGACTTTTAATTTAATACAAATTATAAACAACTTGAAAATATTTAACCCAACAAAAGAGATAATTACTAAGCATGATTAACAACGAAATATCTGCTCTACAATGTATTAACATCATGATAAACTTATTAGTGACTTTTCGATATTTACAGAAAGCATTTATCGATTTTCTTCCACTTCTACACATGCTTCACATAATTCTTTACCACATTAAGAACTCTCTTAAAAGTTATGGAATCCTGTCGAATCATTTTAATTATTGCGAAAAGGAATAGTGAGTTTATTATGTTAATGTATAAAAAAAAAGGTTACATCGCGTAAACGTTTAAGATTTTAATGTATTTTCACTAAGACTTTTTACTTAATATGGTGTACCCTCTCAGTCATATAAATACTGTAACGTTTCTTTTTAATACCATGTATAAATAATAATACATACATATCTTTTTTCACTTCAGGATCATCAAACTTTCGTCCAATCAATCGTTTTGTAGCATAAAATGTATTTGCTGAATTTGTAACTGCTTGACGTTTAGCTGGCATACCAACCAAACGTTCGCCATCTACAAATAAAGTTTTCATAAGATTTTCATTATATTTTTAATGAAACATAAGCTAGAATAATAGTTGTATTATAACTAAAGTTGTATAAAACATACATGCATATAAATATTTAATACATTTGATACAAATTTTAATTATATTTACAATTAAACATTGCACATAAAAAATAATTATACATGTTCAAATAAAATACTTTGATAATATATGAAACGTGTATGTTATAACAATTTTTAACCTTTAGTAAAAGCTACATAAGATGGAGTCGTTCGTGAACCCTCAGCATTTTCTATCACTTTAGCTTGTTTTCCTTCCATAACGGCTACACATGAAAATGTAGTTCCAAGATCAATACCAATAACCGCACCTTTCACTCCTTCAGATCTATGTAAATAATACATTTTTAAAATATAATTGAAACGTTAGATCTTCAATAACATGCTGGGACACCCCATTATACTTTATATTGTAATTTTCAAATTAATAAAATGTATGTTATTTTCAAGGTTATCAGGCATAAAAAAATTGGATATTTTCTAATATAGGAGTATAACCTAATAATATAATACATAAACATAAAATAAATTTTCTAGAAACAACATTCTTTTATAATGTATTGGTATACAAAAAAGAAGAAAAATTCAACTGTCAATGTATTAAAATAATATATATTTGAAAAATAAAATGTAATAAAGAATTTAATAGAAAAAACATATTTCATTTACTTGTATCGGTACTGATGTAAATTTGTACTTTGTTGTGGCACAATGTATGCAGGAGCTGCCACCTAAAACATATTTAAATATTTTAAATACTGATATATGTGCTAATATAAATGTAAACTTTTTTGCTTTAATTCAACTACGAATTATTATCAGTGCAAATAAATGGAACAACATGTAAAATATGTTTTTAATAATTATAATTTATATGTGATAAATATAAGTGTACAAAATAACATGCATCTCTATATTCTTGCATAAAATTTAGACTTAAACATGAAGAAGAAATTGTTCGGATCACGTGCCGGCAATAAGGCTTATATTGTCTCACGGCATTACAGAGAAGAAATACACTTAATATTTAGGAAGAAGAGTACTCGGTATATATTAACAAAATCAATAACATGTTACAGAAAACAATAAAATTGGTTTTTATATTGTACGAGATATACGTGTAGAATATTCAGAGAAAAAAGTTACAGCTAATAAATGTAAATCGCCATCAAAAACTTACATTTTTAAGAATTGTGCTAAACTGTTGTTTCCTAGCGATATCGCAAGTGACATTACTACATCCTCGAGTTAACAACTTTGCAGCGGTTAACATTTTAATTTTTACGCGTTATACCGTTCAATTTAACAAAAAATAGAGGATAGACGCGAATATCCCAACTTCACGTGTTGTGATGCAACCCTCGCAGAGACTTATAATGCGCACTCAACGCGCGCACAAAGGCTATTTCCACTCCGAGTGCCAAGATACGTAATCGTATTCGACCAATAGTAACTAAGATCCTAATGTATATTCCAATCAATGTACTGCATAGTCTTCTTGCCTTTGGAACATCGAGAATTATCCCGAATGTTCCAGCAAAGAATAGATGTCAATAAATAATATCAAGATAATACAATTTAATAAGTAATAAATAAATTGTTTGCTTTGTACTTTAAATAACTTGTTATAATAACAGTATTTGTTTGAGTAATATATTTTATAACTTAGAAAAATGGTTTTTCAACGATTAGAATTGTACCCGAAGGTACTATATTTTTAAACATCCGGAATTTAAAATGGAAAATGTTAAAGAAGTACAACAATCCAAAATATCTACAGCATAATTACTGATTTATTATGTTATTTGAAACTGAATAACATAATTTTATAAAATCTTATACGGATTAGATTTAATTCTAACCGTTTAATAATTTCGGAAAACAATACTATAGACAAGGACCTTGTTCGTGACAATTACGTTTTACCCTAAATAATATACAAATATTATAACAATTTTTTATTTATTTTTTTAAATGAATGTGAATTTAATCATGTTTAATTGTGCATTTCACATATAATCTTGGGAAATAATATAATCTAAAAATTACAGACGATAACAAATTTCTAGTTACATAGTAACGAAATTATTAATTTAAAATAATATATCTTTT